CACACACACACACACACACACACACACACACACACACACGTAGGCCACCCTGGGCTCTCTGTCTGGTGATTTCCTGTGTTTCTTGTCCATGTCACTCATCTGCTTAACCTGTCTCTCTGGAATGGGACTATTAACATTCATGTTGGAGTACAAATGTGTGGGGTGTGGCTTTAGAGCTGTAAGAGTCACAAGAAAGTTAGTAATTTTGTCTCTTCTTTTTGTATTTTATAATGTTAAAACTGTACGCTTGGAAATGTTTTTTAAAAAAATTATATTTATACATGGGATGGGGGAGGATTTTATTATCCTATAATAGACTTTAAAGTTAAATTATTAATATCTTTAAATGACATAAAAATAATAGATACATCTAGGTAAAWAAAAGAGGACCGGAACATAGATGGTGCTCAAAAATACTCGTTGAAGGAATGAATATTTTACATGTKAAAATTACTAATCCAYGAAGAAGTAGTTTCCATTTTTGGAATCTGCAGATTTAACAAATTGTCACGTACCTTTCATGACCCATACATTGTCTTTGTGATCCATGATGTAAACACTTCATCTTAGAGATAACGTGGTGTTTTGGTGTCATTTATTTTTGTTACAGTATGGAAAATGGTTATCATAAAGCTCATCCATATGGTATTCACAATGCTGTTATGCCAAGGTAAACAAAAGTTCAGAAGTGCATGTGTGTGTCTCGTGGTGAACTTTCTCTTTCCCTGTAGATCTTCTGAGATCTCTGCATGCTCTTGGTGCCTTACACTTGTCTCTGCATGATACTCTATCAACACCTAGCTACAATCTTGACCTACATAGTATTTAATGATGCCATAGTTTGAGATTTCAGTGACTTCTTAGCAACGGAAATGTGAAGCAACTAAAATTTGGTGTCATCAGAAAATGCTACATATAACTGAAGATCATAATGATTTTAATGCACGCACACTTTAGCATTTCTCTGCTTCAAACTAGGTGCTTACTGTCTTCCAGATTTACCCCTCTTCCCTTCTCTCATCCATTCTCTTTCCTTCTCATAAATTATGGTCAGTCGAAAAACGAACTCCAACTTCTCCAAAATCTTTTCATGCATTCAAATTTTCTGGATTTGTAAGTCACTTTCCATGAACCTSGACATTCACTAAGTAATTCTGAGCACTATCTGACAGGTGTCCTCTTATGAGAATCCACTAAAACTTGAGATGTACCTGACAATCAGGAGGCCTGTCTGCTGAAAAGAAGTGGGGCCAGGATAAGCAAGGGCCAGAAGGGCAGCCCTGAGGTATCAAAATGTCAAATTCACTTCATGTCATTTGCTGCCTCTAGGATAAGGTGGATATGTGTTGGATTTGGTTGCTAGAGTGCTAGGTTGTGAGAGATGTGAAGATTGATTCAAGGGTCACTTAGCTCAGTCTCCTCCAGGCAGAGTAGACAGGGCTGTGGCCTGCCTCATACACATCTCCCGTTTCATAGGACAGCATGCTTGGAGGGCATCTTATACTTATGGACTGAAATTTCAAGGTCAAAGGAGAGTTCTCAGCTATCCTAATGCCCCAATATCAGTTCTTCTAGGAGTCTCTGAATTTGTAGAATTGGTTTCTGGTCTTGCCTCCTGTTTACGAGGTCTGCAGGTGTCCTCTCTGTACCAGGAAGTGTCATTGAGTTGGCTTAGAGGATTCTAGCAGGACAGGCAAGCCTGGGAGGGAAGTGTGCTGAGGGTCAGGTCTCCTGGTGGCAATGCTGAGGTGGAGTTTGGGATGCGAGGTGTTTGAAGAGAAGTCCAGGTGGACCTTCTGAAGCCTCAGTCCTCTGGAGCAAATATGCCCTGCCAAGAGTTGCCTTCATTGGGCWAAATGGAGACTTTGTGCYCCCACCTCTCTAGCCACTTGAATCTGGGCCACCCAGGAAAGGAAAAGCCCTTGGGCAGTGCAATTGGCGGCAGAGCGGGCCCTGAGAACTCTAGCAACAGGAGGCCCTCTGCTGACTATGTCCCCACTGATTCAGCAAATGACATGAAGTCAATTTGAAATTTTGCAACCTTATTTTTCTATTATTATTATTATATTATTATTATTATTAYCTTTATTATTATTATTATCACTTTTGCTTTGGTCTGAATGCTTGTGTCCCCCTAACATTCAGTGGGAATCCAGAAGTTACAACATTATGGCTTCCTGAGGAGTAGGAGGCTTGGGAGAGTTTGTTGCATCTAGGATTCCTTTGGGAGGGTCAGGTTGGGCTTGGTGGTGCATGCCTGTAGCCGTAGTGACTTGGGAGGCTGAGGCAGGAGGA